TGGGGGCCGGCTGCCGGCCACAAACCGCACCGGGGGCTGTGGCTCCTGAGGATCATTGGGGTCTGGGAGCAGGACCTTTGCTGAAACCGCCAGAGAGCCCGGCCGGCACGTTTAACACAACTCCCCACCCTTCAGAAAGCCCCTGCCTATCCCATCCAGATGGAGCTGGTGCTGCTCCCCACCGGGCTCCAGTGAGCCGGAGGCCTTGGAAAAGGGTGGATGAGACGAGCTCTGCTCCCGCTCCCCGGGCTCGCGGGGCCGGGAGAGGTTACTCCAGGATAAAGTGGGCTGCAGCCACCAGCCCTGTGCCAGCAGCCGGGAAGGCTGAGCCCCACGGGAAGGTGCTGGCCAGACCCCGGGGGGTCCACAACGGGCCTCCAGTGGGGAGGCAAAATTCCTGGCTCCAGCTGCTGGGGACATGGTGTCCCCCCCGGGGACCCAGCGCAGGGAGGGAGAGTTGGGCTGTGGGGTTGGGGTCACGTGCGGATGGTCCCGCTGCCTCCCTCCCTTGCTTGAGGCAGTCTGGATGGCCGGACCCTGCCGCGCTGGCGGCAGCGTCCCAGAGCGGAGGGCAACAAGGGTCCTGCTTGCTCCAGCAGCCCTGGGGTGTGGGTCATGCCCCTCTGTCCCAGGGTCTCACCCCTGCAGCTTTCAGCAGAGATGCTGCGGGGGCTCAGCCTGCCGCTCTCCCCTTCCCTTGGATAGGCCCCAGCTATGGAAATCAGGGAGCAAACTGGGAAACTGTCTGTCTCCCACCGGGGAATTTCCCATGGAGAGAGCTGGGCCAAGCCGATGGGGAATTTCCCCCTCCTCCTCCCCACCCCCGTCTCCCAAAGTGACCCGTCTTCCACAGGGAAATCCCCCTCTGTACCTCCCAACAGCTCCCAGCACACACCCTGTCTGCAGGAATCCCTCCTGCTTGGGGGTGAATCCCCCATCTCGGGAAGTTTCTGGGTCCCGCCTGCCCCTCCTCCCCGCGGGTGCTGATGGAGCCGCATTCC